TATGAAGTGAGGTATAAAGGGGGTTTTCAATAAACTCTTGACAATCTGAAAATTTCAATTGTGTCACGTAAATTTAAACGGAGAAACTATTTTAACTATTTTTTTTTCTTTCTAATTTTGAATTAAAAAAGAAGGGTAGAAGGAGTGTGTACTAACTTTTTCCATGAGTTGCAGTATCCACAAGCACCATTCTCATCCAATCATAATTCACCACCTTCATCTCCTCTCTCTCCTTCAAACTCCAATAATTTTTTTTTTGGGAAATAGTAAATTTATAGTATTAATTTCTCTAAAAAGCTTATAGCTTGTTTATACTTATTTCTTGTTGGTCCTCTTCTTTACCATCTTTTTCTTGCTTTCTCTCTCTTTTTCTTTGTTTTGTTCAGTCATAAAGGGAAAAAGGAAGAAAGCAGACATAAATTTCATCTGCTCTTTCCCTTTTCTTCCTCAAGAATTCTCAAATTCAGAGTCTTTGTACTGTTTACTCACTTGGGGTTCCACAAAAATTTCAGCTTTTTAGAATCATCTTGTTTTTCTCCAGCTAGTGAGGTTTTAATTCTAGAAAGTTCTCTCATTTTCAGGGTTAATTAGCCTTCCAATTTTCTTGCTTTTACTGTTTATGTAAAGTTCAGATCTTAATGAGAATATTTTCTTGGATTTAACTTGGTCTGAGATAATCTTTGTCTGTTTTAGTTAATCCCTTTTATTAGTTTTTTTTAAAAAAGATTATCAAAACATCTAGGATTTTTCTTTTGACATTGAAAAGTTAGAGTCTTTTCAAGATTCTGCTCTATGGTTAAAAGGGTATTCTGATTCCTTTTATAGATGCTGACTTCTTGATTTAACACTGATATTTTTTTCTTCCCATTGTAAAAACCCCACATCTCTGCATTTCCCATCTTGGGTTTTTCCCCCAAATCTTCCTCTGTTTCATCAAAGTTCAAATCTTTTTCATAAAAATGCTGTCTTGAACTATCTTTCTTGTAACTTTTTTCTCCTACTGTGAAATTTTGACCTTTTTTTGAGTCTTGGGGTTATGGAGATTCTATCACCAGCTCCTTATCTTTCAAATCCAAGCTGGTTTCTTGATGAGGATAAGAGCACAAAATGGACTCCAGCTGAAAACAAAGCTTTTGAGGATGCACTTGCCTTGTTTGATAAAGATACACCAGATAGATGGCATAGAGTTGCAGAAATGGTTCCAGGGAAATCAGTTGTTGATGTGATGAGGCAATATAAAGAATTAGAAGATGATGTGAGCAGAATAGAAGCTGGATTAGTTACTATTCCTGGTTATAGTACTTCACCTTTTACATTAGAATGGGGGAATAGTCATAGTTTTGATGGATACAAACAATCTTATGTTGTTGGAGGCAAAAGGCCTTTGTCTAATAGGCCACCAGAACAAGAGAGGAAGAAGGGTATTCCATGGACAGAAGAAGAACATAAGTGAGTTTAATTCTAATTTCTTCATGATTGTTTTTTCTGTGTGTGTGTGTTGCTTTTTACTGTGGCTTTTTTTTTTTTAAATGCATGTTTGGCTACTCTGTGTATGGACCACCCTATATATTTTCTCTTGTTTTTTGTATCCCTATATCACTTTTAGTGCACTAAACAACTTGGCAAAATATGGTAGGCAGTGGAATAATGAACTGCCAGCTAATAAACAATATGTGACAAGTTGACAATTCAGAGGCGGACCTAGTGCGGATTCAATTGAACCTATTATTTTCCGCATACATGTGAAAAACCCTGAAAAGTAGTAAAAATATTAAGTTTACTGTTGCTTGTGAATCTTGATTGCTGAGAAAGCTGATGTGTAGCCTTAGACTTGGTTTTGATATGTTAATTTCTAAAGATTGTTGATGTTTGTATGATCAAGTATTCATTATTGACAAGGGGATTTGCTTGATTCTTATATAGGTTGTTTCTAATGGGGCTTAAAAAGTATGGAAAGGGGGATTGGAGGAACATTTCGCGTAACTTTGTTGTTACTAGAACTCCAACTCAAGTGGCTAGTCATGCTCAGAAGTACTTTATTAGACAACTTTCTGGTGGAAAAGATAAAAGACGAGCGAGTATTCATGACATTACAACAATAAATCTCAACGATAATCAAACGCTTTCACCAGATTACCAGAAACCAACTTCACCTGATCAATCCACTATGATTTCCCAGCAGCCAAAATCAACTGCCAATGCCATGCACAAAATGCCATTTCAGTGGAGTCAGGTCAATAATGGGACAGCCACGGGCTTCAATTCTGCACAAGCAAGTTTGTTCATGTCCCCAGCACTTTATGGAGGAAACTCTTATGGGAACACTAAAATGCTGAGCCAAAGCTTACAAAGAGGTGCTATGCATGAGCCATACTTCGGAGCTCAAAGTATGAATTTTCAGCTGCAATCAGCACATCAGTATCATCAAGCATAACACAGGCATATCGAAAATATCAAAACTTTGATCAGTGCCTTAAGAAAAAAAGAAGAAGCTTATTTTCAATTCAGTATGTTAGCTTTTGTTTCTGCTTTTAACGGTCTCTCTTGTCTTGTGAATATGTTGATTGGCACTTCAAGTAAGCCATGAGTTAGTGTGTCCTTTTAGTAAGTCCAAAAAATCCTTACTCTCTGTAGTCTCTACTTAAAAACCATAGAGTACAAGTGGACTTCATATAAGATGAGCATAGAGGAACAGACCGAAACCTGTAAAATCCTTTAGAGGGCATAATAGAATTCAAGAGATGCAAGGGAAATGATCTGATTGACTGTTGTTTCCTTATATCATTTTGTGCATTTCAGGAAGAGCATGGCATTATTAGAAAATCGAAATGAAAACGATAGACAAATAAAAGTCTGTTAGAAACTTGACTGTTGATAGTAGTGACACTGGATATTCCTAGCAGATTTGGCCTATTCTTTTGAATGCAATGGTTTCCTTGTTGATGGAACAATAAAAGAAGTACTTCAGACTCAGGAGAGAAAGTACTCAATATTTTCAAAAGACAAGAGTGTTTGGAAAAGAGTAGTACTAGTATGGGTGACCCCCTATGTACTTTTTGTTTTCTTTCGAGAACACTTTGTCATGTTTCCCTTAGTATCTGCGTTGATATTTTTTTCCTTGAGCCGATGTTCTAAATAGGAAACAACCTCGTTACCTCTCAAGGTAGGAAAGGTACGCGTTTGCGTATACTCTAACCTCATTGGGTATGTCGTCGTTGTCATATAATTGGTTTAAGGAGAAATGGTACCTGCTTTTGGCACAGTCTTGAAGCAATAAGCCAATTAGACTGAACAAAGAAGCACTGCAATTGGATGGTGAGTGCACATTTGCTGAATCGGTAAGCACTCCATGACGTCTGTTGAGCCCTGCATTTTTTTTGACACCGACGATGAACTATATATGCGAAAAATCACTAAATCCTTGATAAGTATTAAAATATGAACTCATTAAAGATTGAATACATCAAGTTTAAATTCTGAATCCGCTTCTATTTACTTGACCACGCTCGACTGGCAAGCTTTCTAGTAGAAGCTGAGTCTACACTCCACTAACTCAAGCATCCTATTCTTCAAACCTTCCTATAATCCAAAATCTACCCCCTAGTAGGGGGCCCCTACCTTACTTTTTTCTTGGAGATTATGTATCCTTTTTGAAGATCCTTTTGAAAAATAAAGACACCACTGGTAAAAACATTGATTAATTAATAAACTAACATAATCTAAGAGTACAAAAGTAAGATTCATAGCAGATTTCTCCTAATTAAAAAATAAACTTAATTTTCTCTCTTTTGGTGTTTTGGTAATCAATTGCAATGACTCTCTCTTTTTGATACATTCACTTCAAAAATTTCTTAAATTTATTAGTCAATTTTGGTATGAGTATTGCACGAGTGTTGTACTATTTTTCTAATCAATAGCCTATATGATTGCTTTGTAATTTAATATACTTTATCATACCAATTTATTTTTTTCATTTAATAAAAAAAAATGAAAAAGAAAATAAAGATTTCACTGTTCTTTGTTTTGGTGCTAGCCATTGCCTCTTAATTCCATGGAAACAAAGGACATTAAACTTTTCTTCCATTGGATCACTCAACCTCTCACTATTTTATTTTTATGTCTAACTAGTAAACGATATCAGGAACTGTTATTGCTAAATTATTTGGTTTGATGTAATCACTCAGTGAGGATAAATATTTTCAATTGAAGCATGTGTGTACTTTATTGCGTTATTTTAGTTGCTTCAACTACAGAAACAACTTTTAGAAAGACAAGTAGCATCTAGTTTTCTTAGTATATTCAAAACTAAAGCTCATCAAGAGCAATATGCTTAGTTGGTTTTACTAAAACAGTTGAATACAAGAAATGACAAAAAGTAACATTCTTTTATGAGGAAAAAAAAGAGAAGAGCATAATAATAATTTGCAAGTTGTAGAATGGAAGCCACTAAGTCAATTTATTCCAATTTTCATCTCCTCTTTCACAAACTACAGCCACACATGAAAGTCCAATACTTGAACACTTTCGGCATACAAAAGTTGTTTCCCTTGTTATTATTATTTTTTTTTCTAAAAAAAATACCGTTCGGATTACAATATTCTGATTCTTGTTCATGGAAGATATTCCAATGGATCAAGCAGAGGACCTTGTTTACATTTTTACAAATGATTCTGATATGGTCGAAAAAAAGTTAGCTGGGGTTTCGCGGTGGACCAGAGAGATCTTTGAATGATCTCATGTGGGGGCTTTTCTTCCTTACCAGAGAAAAAGAATCCTTTTTTTATAATCTCCATAGGCCAGCTGAGACAAACTTGGTCGATAATGGATCTGCTCCTCTACTTGTGACATGTGCACAGCTCATACATCACGTACTGTGCTCTTACCACTGAACCAAAGCTTTGGGACATACCATAATTTGAATATACGTCCTGTTAAGGTAAGGCTGTAACTGAGAAAGGCTACAATACATAGTGTGTTATATTGTTAATAGGAAAAAGGCGAAATGAAAACTCAGAATTGAGATAACCATCATGAATTCATAATCTTGATTGAACATCATACATGAAGATACAGCTAGTAGTAAGCAGTAGCTTCTGTTTTTTTTTTTTTGTTATTTGAGATACAACTGTAATATATGGCTATTCCGATCTAGTTAACTTCTCCATTCAGGAGCAAGAATACAGTTGAAGTTCTCCTCGAGGACCTCAACGAAAGAATTACTGGCTGGTATGGGGATGTTGAATCCATGGCTGTCTCGTTTGAGCATTTCAGTACCTCTTGTTTAGGATGTAAGACCAAATCCGAAAGGAAATAGAGGATTTGAATTCCCGTGAACATGCATTGGAATTTGATCAACAGTTTTAAACCATGTCACAGGTAGTTTCCCTTGAAATGGATAGTCTCCAAAAAGGACATCTGTGATTCCAGCTCCTTCAGTTCCAGGCAACCAAGCTGCAACAAATGCATCTACTTTTTCCAAGAGAGGTGGTTCGATAACCATAGGTCTTCCAGAAATGAGAATTGTCACCGTGGGAACTCTGTCAGCAACAAAAGTTGCAATTTCTGTTCCATTAAATGGAATTTTTAACTCTGGATCATCACCACCAGTTTCACAATATGGACCCTCACCAATCGCCACGATAGCAAAAGAGAAGTCTTGACTAGCAAAAGTTTCTGCAGTAGGATTTGGCTCAAAGACTATCTCTGTTTTGTCTCCCAACATCTCCCTTATTGCATCCATTATGGTTGTGCCTATCAAAAATGGATCATATAACTAGTTGAGATTACGATAATTCACAAAGTAACTGCAAATGATAGTTTATAAGAATCATGTTAGGGAGAGACTTGTAATCGAAAACTACTTACCAACTGTGATTCTGCCACTGAGTCCTGTCCAAGTAGCTGTCCACCCTCCACATTGATACCCAAGATCATCAGCATGAGTTCCAGCAACAAGGATCTTTTTGGCCGTCTTATCTAGAGGCAGAAATGGTTTCTTTGGATCTTTCCCATTTTTCAACAAAACTAAGGATTTGCGAACAGCTTCACGTGCTAGCTCTCTATGTGCCTTAAACAATGTGACAAAATAACCAGACTCAAAACTGATCCAAGATGGTGAAATGCAGAATCACTATTGTTCTAATGCAAGACATACATATGAACTGCTATTTAGAATTCATATAAAGAACAACCATAGAAGAGTCTTACGAAGAACTTCAGCAACTGATTAGAACAAATACTGGTAACATGTAATCTCATTAAAACTTGAGCATTTTGCGAAGAGTATTTCTTCTAAGAAATGGTTCTTTCCTACTCATGTTACGCGATTGTTACCAATATGAGATGATGTTGTACTGTTAAAAATGTAAACTTGTCCCAATAGGCAACAGAAATAAGTAGGAATACCTTGCAACCAACCAAATCTATCAATGATCTATCTGTAAACGGATGTTCAAATAATCCAGTAACAAATTTGACTCTCAAGATTCTTTCAACAGCGTCATCTATCCTGGTCAACGGTATCTCCCCTGATTCTACCAGTGATTGCAGCTGCTCCAAAAATAATTCATATCTAAATGGCACCATTACCTGCAAATATTCACAAAATGCAAACAGATAGCATGAATTAGGCTAAAAAAAAGCTGTTATTATTTGCTTCCAACACAAACTTTAATTCAACTTTACCATATCAATTCCAGCATTAATGGTTGACTTGACTGATTGACGATAATCAGCATCATGAGGGTCAGTAAGCCGTTCAAGTGCTTCCCAGTCTGTTATCAAGAGACCCTGCACCAGAATATTGCTTTTATAGTATAACAAAGCTTCTCAACATTGCAGGCATATAATTGTCGTCCCATTGTTTACCTTGAATCCAAGCTTTTCTTTCAAGACCTCGGTTAAAAGATATCGATGAGAGTGCATTTTGTCTCCATTCCAGCTGGAGTAGGAGGCCATAACAGTGCAAACTCCTTGGGCAATACAGTCTATATATGGTGCTAGGTGGATATTAAACATATCATCATGTGATGCTATCGTATTTCCTTCATTTGTACCATTCTCAGTTGCCCCATCACCAACAAAATGCTTTGCACTTGCCATGACAGAATTTCTGAAGTCAAGAAACTAGTATCAACATTCTGTATTTGAAGTAACGAAAATTACAGAGATAACGGCTAGTGCTCATCATTATCTTTACCTTCCAGCAACATAAGGGTAGCCATATGGATGTCCTTCTGGTGGCTGACCTTGCAAGCCTGAGACGAGGGAGGTCATCTTTCTTACAACTTCCGTATCTTCACTGTAACTCTCGTAAAATCTTCCCCATCTAGGGTCTTTTGCAACCTGGCATAATTCAGTTGAATCATACGATTATGAAATGGTTAAATTTCATTTTATATGTGTCCCCAGGAGGGGTAAACCAAAGACTACAAATCAGCTTAATCTTGCAATATCAATATCAGGATAAATTCCTTTACATAGACATTTTTAAACAACATACCCATTGTAATTCCACAAATGTCCGATAGACATTTTTATGTTACGGAAAACTAGTAACTTGTGGAAAAACTACATTGATAGGTATAAATGTTCAGATAGGAAACAAACTATGCTAGTTTTGCTTTTATGACAAGAAAGCACAAAATTTTCTCAAGATCTTTACTTCATTCCAAATTTATATCTAAGGCTACGAGTATCAAACTGGATCATTCTTTCCCAAAATTGCAAACATAAAAAGTCGAAACACAAAGAGATAAGTGAAAATTCTTTTTGACTTACAGCAACACAAGGAGCAAAAGCATACTGAGATCCACACGCCCTGGTTTCAAGAGCTGTCACCACTCCTATCCTTCTTACTAAATCAGCATCTCTGCAGAAATATACCAAATCCACTTCAATATAATCTTCACAAATTTACGCGCAAAAGCATAGGCAGATTCAAGATTTTAAGTCTGTTCTAGGAACTTATCATAACAATTCATAAGAATTGACACATAACTATCTACTAAACTATATAGTTTGAGCTGAAATATTTGCTACCTAATCATTGTTTATTTTCCCTGAATGCACAACTTTTACGACTCAGGTATCAAGTCACTCTGTCCATCAAGACTTACACAAGTCGAAACAAATCATCTACTAGAGTAATAACTAACCTGGTGGCACCAAGCCCAATGTTGTGAGGAAAAATAGTGGCACCCCAAACATTATTATTGCCATGAATAGCATCAGTCCCATAGAAAATAGGAATGCCAAGCCTGGACTCAACTGCACCCTTTTGAAATCCATCAATCATATTAGCCCAATCAGCTGATTCTGCATTCTCAAAAGGTCTACTTCCACCTCCACTCAAAACACTCCCTACAAAAATTTCCAAAAATAAAAATAATTCAACAATCAAAAACCCATAAATAATACTCTCTCCATTTCAATTCATTTGTCTTATTTTCCTTTTTAGTCTGTTTATAAAAAAAAAAAATACTTCTTTTCCTCGTTCACAACTCTTTAATTTCAACTTTTCACATATATGTCTAACGCCACAAGATTAAAGAACATTTAGGTACATTCTAATATATTTAGCAGGTGTTTGACCATGAATTCCAGATTTTTCAAAAAATTTAGAAACAAAATGTGTTTTCACTTTTTCACTCCAAATTACTCCCAAAAAGTAAAAAACAACTTCAATTTGTATTCACACTAAACACAACTCCAATTTTCAAATATCGACTTTAAAAACCGAAACTACTTTTTTTTGTCTTGCCCACTTAGTTTAAAACCACCAGATTCAAAAGTTAAAACCAAACAAATGGAACAAAACAAAAAAGTTAAAAACGGAGAAAAAGAGGCAATGGAGCTCAATATCAGTGCAAAGAAAAAAAAATCGAATATAAAAAAGGCATAAATAATAGGAAGTGAATTAATGGAGCTTAAAATGAATTACCAATGCAACGATCTCTAATAGCAGAAGGATTAGCAACAGCTCTTTCGATCTGAGTGATTTGACCAATTTTTTCTTCAACAGTCATTTTAGAAAGAAGATCTTTTACTCTTTCTTCAATTGCAGCATTTGGATCTTTGTAAATACAATCCATAGCTACAATTAATTGAACAAGATGATGAAGAACAAACAGATCTTAATCTCCTTAATTAATACTAATCAGATAATTATTGTTTTTTGAGGAATAAGACAGGGACTGAAGGTTTCTATTTATATATACACTTAAGGGCAAGATTTTAGATTAGTAAATATTAATGGTGACGTGGCACGTACACTTGTATGTTGTGTGATTGGATAAAATATTTCAGGTACAGCGAATTGCAATCATGTGAAATTTAATTTGTATCTATCTACCTTTGGCCGCATATTATATGAACCCAAAAATAAAAAAAACATTAGTATATATGATGTGAACAGCCTGCATTTATATATTATTACCCCAATTACCACTTGATTAATTGTATTTCTCCGTCTCATATATTATTAAAATATAGTTATTCATTATTTTATCCGTTAATTAATTTATTTAAAGTAAAAATAAGTTTGTAAAGTTTTAAAAAAGTTTTTAATAAGCCTACATTAAAATTATTTATTGGCTATATAATCTTCAATCCTATTCCATATTTTTAACAAAATTTAGAGGGTGGGGGAGATTTACTGAGGTACTTAAAAATTATTCTGTTTTAGTGTTTACATCTATATACTAAAAAAATAAAAATAGTAAATACAGAGTACTCAATAAATACATGGTACTTTCACTTAATCATAATCATCATAATAATAAATAAATAAATAAATAAATAAGCGTTTATTGTGACCATGTATATAATTCTATGATTCTCTGCACCAATGAAGTGGATTTAATTCATAATTTATGAATTTATGTAAAAAAACAAAGGTGAAACATGTTCACTTTATGATTCACTTCGCAATTGTCTTAATATATTAGTACTATATACTTTTCTTAGCTTATGTAGTTATATATCGAAAAGAAAAGGGAGTAAGAGCGGTGTAACAATTTACTCGTATTCGATATTTATATAAAATGATATTAACTTATCATAATTATAAATAATGATATAATATATATATTATATATTCATTAAAGTAAGAATAAATTTTGCTGGAACATGAAGGAAAAGCAGATCTGAACAAGGCATTATTGGTGCAACTTGTTTCCTTATAAGATTGTGATTTGTCATCAACAAATAGTTCTGATGAGAAAACAAAAATAGTTCTGAGGCTGTTTGGATCCCATACCCAACTCCATTTTTTTCAGAGTCCAATAGCTGGAAAAAAAATTGTAGTACTAGTATATTATAAAAAAAAATTAAAAAAGAAAAGAAAAGAAGAAAGTGAAATTCCAACTTGTGGTAATTATTTTATGATTGTAAAATATTTTTCAGGTTTTGTATTTGAATCTCTATTTTAATTATTTTTTGTTGTTAACAACTTTTGAATTCTAACTTTCGATTTATATGACATATAAGGCCATAAGCTTAAATAACTTTTTGGTCCCTTCATTCTCAGTTTTAAAGGTTTCTTTTACCATATACTTAAAATTTGTGTCCTATTCTTTTTTAACTGTCAAAGGTCACTTTTAATTTCAAGTTCTGCACTTTCATAAATTTCGTGTTAAGTTAATATCAAATAAATAATTTAAATCGAATAATGTATATATTACTCTATCTATGTATTAGGAGTCAGGGGCGGAGCTAGCATGATGTTAGATGAACCCTCTTCGGAGAAAAATTACATTATTTCTACATGTTCAAAATTATGGTAGATGTTGAACCCCTTTGACTAATTGTGTTTTTACTTTTTTATATTTTAAGCTATTGAAAATTTTGGCTTCGCCGCTATTAAGAGTAATATTGTACTGTTAAAGACGAACTAATCAGGACGATTTCAATGTTTATATTTTTAAAAAGGTGTTGTTAGACCCTTTAACAATTGGATCACCATCATTGGCTTCTGGTCTCTTACTTGGAAAAAACATCATCTCAAATTATAATATTTTATATTATATAGTTAAATATACAGAAGTTAATGAATGATAGGCATGGAAGAGAACAAAACCCTTTTGGATCTATTACGTATTCATGGAATATTAAAATAGAGAAATCATTTTTAGAAAAAAAATCACAACTTCAGACTAATAAAGAATATTTATGAATAGTCTTTTTTTTAAAATATGAGATTGTAATCTTGAAAATAAGTCGGGTATCTGTTATAAACAAAGATGGTTTGCTTATGTAAAAGTTTGTACATCATTTCTATTTCGTTGATATGAAATAATTAATTGAAAAAATAACAAAACCATCTTCCTTGAACTTGTCCTTTTTATCCTGAAAGTTTATTTAATTTATTTCATACGACTTTCTATGTGTACTTGATTTCTTTTAATTTTAGAGAAGATATAATTCCCTTAATTAATCCCTCGTAGCATCAAATGATCAGACAAGGTTGACCCACATGATAGAAATTTTTAACGGCATATAGAATATTTTGCATAAATGTTATCTCTTTTTTATTATAATAATATATGATTTGATGCTGAACGAACAGATAAGTACTAAGTAGGCTTATCTATCATTGAACTTGAAATGTATTTATGGTAGTTCAACATTCATTGTAATTGAAGATTTATTGAGCCATTGATTAATTAGTTTTAGTTCTACATTAATTAAGAAGTGAAATTGGAAAAAAAGGGGTTTCATCTTAATAGCGTAAGAAGAAACTACACTTTAATCATTTATGAAGTTAATGATGATACATCTAATTCTGCGAATATACTTTATACGTCGTCATTACTAAAAATAGATGGTCATTAATATTTCTCATTTCACAAAATCAATGCATAAATGACATTATTCTTCCTATTTTACCCTTGAGAGTTACATATTAACTTTGATGTTGTTTGACTTGATATGAAATTTTGAAACTTGCGGTTTAAAATAAGTGATAGATGTTTTTGTGACTATAAATTATTTTAAAGTTAAATTATTACTAATGTATCATCATTTCTTAGATTAAGGAAAAATGAGTCATATAAATTAAGATTAAAAAATATAAAGTGTATAGTAAATCTTATATGTATATATATTAGATGGTGCCTAATCGACTATTTTAAAATCCTAAATCTGCCTCTAGCTAGACGGAATTCTTCTATATATGTTGACTGACTACCATTATCGTTTGTGTGTTTGGGTCATATATTTATATGACTCGTAGGGTATTATTAGTGATTTTGGTGGTCCTCAAATTGTGACTAAATTTCAGTAAATTAAATAAATCACTCAAGCAACTTGTAGCTAGCCATTTACTATTGTAGTTGCCGACATTTAAGTCCCTCTTGAGAATGAAATTGGTGTGTTCAGACCACATGCTTGTGTTGGTCCTCTTTCTACAAATCTTTAATTTGTGAAATAATTCCAACTCTGAAATGGCTTTATTTGTTTGTCTATGTTGTTATCCCAGCGTGCACTCCTAGTACATATTTGTTGATTTGAAATGCATATAATGGTGTGTTCATGAGCTTGAAATATAATGCCAAAAGAGTCATTCACTATGGGCCAAGCTTCAATATTTCCCATCATCAGTTGCTACCACATTCTATATGTGAATTAACAAAAGGTAATGTCATTAATACCCCCTTGGTCCTATTTTACGTGACACATAAAATGGGACGGAAGCCTTAGTACTGCCCACACAAGTAGTTACCGAATATTATATTTAGTGGCAATAATATAATATGGATATTTATAGTCGATACTCTATATAAATGCAATCACATTAACTCAATTTCCGCCAAATTTTTTTTGACTAAGATAGCAATAACATAGACTCCTAGTGCTGAAGTCAATCCAAGATGATGGAACCCAAAATTAGCCAATTAATTAGTTGGCTAGATCAATCAACTTGAACATCTTTCATCAATACGTTTTTGACAATTTTCTCTTGGTATTGTTTTAAGTCGCTTTCTCATTGATTAGAATTGCCCATGGCATGTTTAATTTGCTCTCTACATGCATTAAAAGAGTTCGTACCAAGTAGCCTTCTTGTCCTTCACCTTTCATCATTTATTTTCTTGTCTTTTTCCCCACTTAATTCTCTATTAAAGGTACACATCCATTTTTTCATCCTCTTAATAATACACACTCCAAATTATTGTATCATCTTTCTTAGTTTTCTATAAGATCATGTTGACAAAAAAAGGCTCAAATAAAAAAAGAGACAATGAAGCAACAAATAGTAATACGAAAAGAGGGTATAATAGTTTCAAGAGATCAACATCAGAATTATCCGCGATTAAATTGTTCAAACGTTTAGGAGGGAAGATAGTTGCTATTGTGAGGATGATGTCTCCAAGAAGCTCAGGAAAAGTTAATTCTTCAAATAAGCCATTATCTGATCCTCCAATATTAATCAATTCTGATCATAGAGTTGAGGCCATCAAAGATTGTATCAACTTCATCAACTCATCATCGTCACGTTTGCCCAGATCTAATTCTGTTTCTAGCACATCAATTATGTTGTAAGATATACTATGATTACATTTATACATAATTAGTATTATAGTTTTGTTTCTTGGTCTGGCTTAAATTTGTGATAGAAGTTAGGAAAAGAATGTTTTCTTTTTTAGGGGATATGTGCTCTCTTGAGGTCTTATGATTTGATTATATTATCAATAATCAATATTGTAGTAAAAAGTTTTAATGAAATATCACTCATTTAGAGATAATTCAACCTTGGTAACCAGTCGGGAGAACTCTGAATATAATCTTGAGTCTAACTCAACCTCAAAGCCAAGCTCATGTTTGCTTGGCTTGTATTTGGAGGTATATATAATCATGTTCCTTACTCTTTTTCTTAAAAATAAATTTGTGATTCTTAATTACAGTTTGGTCATCCTAAGAAACAAAATTCATGCCAGCAAGTAAATTAAAGTTCATTTGCTAGGATGATAAGAAGGTCCACTTCTGTGTCTTGAAAGTTGAAATTACTATTATAGTTTTTTTGCTATTTACTAGATTCTAGAGGGAGTTGCTTAGATGGTAAGCATTCCTCACTGGAGTTCGAGTTACCAAAGAGGTTAGAGTGTTATGAACCAAGTCCAGCCCAATGTAGATACTAATGTCATACAAGTTGTTATTGGGCTGACGAGCTATTGGGCTGAGAACA